CCTTCCCAAACTGCACTGCCCGATGCAGTAGACTGGGAGCTGACCTTGCCTGTGACAACTGAGGTAAAAAGGCATTGAGTGCTTCCTTTTTTGCATCATCTGTCACTAGGTCACCTTCCCCATTCAGTAAGGCGCACACACTTTCCTTGATCTTCCTCTTGCAGCTGGCATACCTGTAGAAACCCTTCTTGTTACCCTTCACCCTTGCTAGCTGAAACTCCAGTTGCGCTTTGACCTTCCTGATTTCACCCCTGCATGTCTGTGCAATACTCTTATACTTCTCCCTAGTCCTTTGTCCAAATTTCCATTTTTATAAACTTCCTTTTTGTGATTTAGCCTACTGAAGAGTTCCCTGCTAAGTCAGGCTGGTTTTCTACCAGACTTGCTACTCTTCCTGTGCATCAAGTGGGTTTGTTCCTGAGCTCTCAGTAAGATTTCTTTAAAATACAACCAACTGTCTTGGATTCCTTTCCCCCTCAGACTGGCCTCCCAGGGGATCCTGCCCATCAGTTCCCTGAGTCATAGTCTGCTTTTCTGAAATCCAGGGTCTTTACTCTGCTGCTGTCCTTTCTTCCTTTCCTCAGGATCTTGAACTTAATCAGCTCGTGGTCACTGCTGCCCAAGTTGCCATCCACTATGACATTCCCCACCAATTCTTCCCTGTTTGTGAGCAGCAGGTCAAGAAAAATGCAGCCCCCATTTGCCATCTCTAACACTTGCACCAGGAAGTTGTCACCAGTACTCTCCAAAAACTTCCTGGATTGCTTGTGCACTGCTGTATTGCCTTCCCAGCAGATGCCAGGGTGATTGAAGTCCCCCATGAGAGCCAGGGCCTGTGATCAGAAAACTTCTGTTAGCTGTTTGAAGAAAGTCTTAGCCACCTCATCCTCTTGGTCAGGATGAATATGGAGTAGACACCCACCACAACATCATTTTTGTTGCTCTCCCCTCTGATGCTAACCCAGAGATTTTTAACAGGCCTATCTCCAGTTTCATATAGGAACTCTGAGCAGTCATACAGCTCTTTTACATAAAGAGAACCTCTTCCTGCTCTTCTCCCCTTCCTGTGCACTTTGTACCCATCCATGACAGTGCTCTAGTCATGCGAGCTACCCACCAAGTCTCTGTTATTCCAATCACATCATAGTTCTGTGACTATGCAGACTTCCAGTTCTTCCTGCATTCATGCATGACCTGGGCCACCTTCTGGGACCTCCTGGAGCAGCTCCAGCTACATCTGGAGTGGCAGCAAACTGGCATGTGGCCGCCTCTCCCTGCGGACACCTGGCTGGCCCTCACCCTGCTAAAGCTGGGCATGCCTGCTAGCCTGCAGTACATTGGCCAACTGTTTGGCATGGGCAGGCCACTGCCAGGGAGACCATCCTGAAGGTGTGTGGCACCCTCCAAGATGTGCTGGAGGACACTGTGCTCTACATGCATGACCCCCCCCTAGTGGTGGTGGCGGCAGGGTTCTATGAGCTATGATTCCTCCAGTGCATCAGGGCCCTGGATGGGAGCCTCATCCTTGGCACCTCCTGCCCCCTAGAGACTGCCCCTATTACAGCCGGAGAAGCTTTCACTCTGTGGTGCTACAGGCCACTGTGGACAACTGCAGAGACTTCATGCACATGACTGCTGGCTGGGTGAGCAGGACCCACGACGCCCACATCTTCAGGAACTTTGGTCTGCTGCGCTTAGTAGAGAATGGGCACTTTGCACTGGGGATGCCGGACCTATAGCTGGGTGCCATTGTGGTCCTGCCCCTCCTCATTGGGGACCATGCCTACCTGCTTTTGCCTTGGCTCATGCAGCCCTAAACCAGCCAACTGGACCCCCACCAGGCCCACTTTAGCCACTGCTTGTGCCAGACCTGCGTCCTGATGAAGTGACCCTTCAGCTATCAGAAGGGATGCTGGCACATCCTCAGTGCCTGCTTTGAGTTTGCCAAAGACAAACTTCCCTAGGTCATCATTACAGCCTGCATGCTGCATAACATCTGCAAGGTGCTCCTCTGGCGTGTGTGGCTCCCCCTCCAGCAGGTAGTGCTGCGGCCCAGCAGGGCTGGTGTATTGTCCTGGCCCTGTTGCAGGCAGCTGTGGCTCCACACCCACATGGAAATGGGATTGGGCCCAGGCCAGGGGCCAAAGGGGTGGTGCTAGACCTAGGGCAGGGTCTGGGGCAAAGGCTCCTGGCTGCTAGAAGCCGTGCAGCACCTTCTCCCAGGCCCAGGTGGGGGCCTGCTGCTGGGTAGCAGGTGGCTGTCAAGGGGCAGGCAAGGCTAGGGTGAGACCTGGGCAGTGGGTGGCATAAAGGCGACCGTCAGGGCCAGAATGGTGCCCAGCGGTTGTCATCCATGGCCTGCAGTATCCAGGCCAGGATGTCATTCTGTTCCTGCAGTGCCTCTACCCACTTGTGCTCCAGAGACAGGAGCTGTGCCTGGAATTCCCTGTCTGCCCAGTTCCAAGCCTCCTCATCCTTTGCCCACCAGGTGCCCCATGCATACTTGCATACCTGGCATGGGATCCTGAGCTATGATGGTGTTGGGGGCAAACCCAGGCTGGCCTGCAACCTCCATTGCTTCATGCCCCTGCCTCCCATAGCTGTGGAGGACATCACCACTGGCATTAATGTGTTCTTTGACATGCAAGAGGCCCTTACCCACCTAGCTGCAGGCACTTGGACACAGTTTTGCACTGTATCTCACTTCCCTGCATGCTTTGGGGTGGGAATGTGGGGCCAGGGGATTGTGGGCAGGCTGGGAGGGCAGGGGCTGGGGTGGAGGGCAGGGGCTGGGGCTGGGGCAGAGGCAGGGGCAGGGAGGGCCCTCCCCCCCAGTGCGGGCCTTACCACATGGCTGGGGCTGGTCTGGCTGGAGGCTTCATGTGGTCACATCTGGTGATGGCATGTGGCTCCAGGCAGTGCTCTCAAATGGTGTGGTGCAGCAGGTGGGTGCCTGGACAGGGTCCCCTCCTGGGGAGGATCTTGTGTTGTCGGTAGCTGGTTGTGTCATGGCCACCCATGCCTGTGGTGGGTGCTGGGGCTGCAGAGCTGGTACAGCAGGCACTGGCCTGGGCTCTCCGAGCTGCTGGTGGAGACTGAAGCTGGGGAGCTCAGCAAGATGGGCTGCTGGATGCCAGAGGTGCCCTCCCCCGGTTATGTGTCACTGTGGGTGCCAGGCCAGGGTGGAGGCTTGGGCAGGCCACCCATACTGCTGTAGACAGCATGGTTGCAGTCTGGGTCCCAGAGCATGAGGATGTCTATCAGTTGCCACATAAAAAGCATGGACTTATGGGCATTCCTCGACTGAAGATTATGGTCAATGATGGCAACCCACTATGCCGACAAGGCCTTTACCTTTATGCAACACTGCTTTGCTGACCGGTTGTGCCTGCACTCCTGCATCCAGCCCGACAGCCTCTCACAGACATGGGCATTGGAGCGCCTGCCCCGTTCAAACTGGTGCTGCACCTCTGCTTTGCCCCACCCCAGCGCCACGAGGTTACCAGTCTCCCCCTGCAATCAGTTGCGACCCCAAGCAGTAGGCACAGGTGTGGGCATTGGTGTGGGCCATCATGAGGCCATCATGGGTCCTGTGCCAGTTCCTGAGCCTGTCCCTGTGCTTCTGGGCCTGGGCAGCTGCCACAGTGCCCAGCATGGGCCCAGTGATGGACTAACAGCTGTGTGGCAAAGGCAATGTCTTGCAGCACCTGCAAGTCCAGGGCAGGCTACTGGGGGTGGGCTGCAGGCAGGTAGAGCTGGCCCTGGCAGCCAGATGCTGCCTGCAGGGGGCTGCCAGGCCTGGCTGGAGCCTACAGCAGCCTGCAGCCCTGGGCAGTGTGGGCCTGGCAGGCACGTGTTACTGCAGTACCAGGTAGAGGCACCAGACCTGTGGCCTACCCAGGGGGACACAGGAGCCTGGAGTCACTTCAGGCTGCCTGCTGGTGTGCCCAGGACTCAAAATGCCTGCAGGCTTTTAAAGGCCTGAGGCAGGGGCTGCCGTAGAGGCAGGAGAGGATCCCAGCCCAGAGTCCTGGGGCTAGCCTGAGGATGGCCCCCCTAGTGGCAGGGATGGCCTGGGAGCAAATCTGCTCCTGGGTCACGTCTATATGTGCATTACTGAGCAGTAACTAATTGCAAGTAAATTTGATATCTCATGATTAGAGGTTTTTCTGCCCAGTATATGAGCGCACATATAGATGCGCCACTTATTGGGCAGTAAGATATGCTACTGCGCAGTTAAGCATCTCATGTAGATGTGCCCAGTAATGGTGAAATAGCCCCAACAGGACCACTGGGGCTGGTCATGTAGAATGTTCCAACTGTACGACATAAAGATAACAGATTATGACCATAGACAAGGATATCTAGAATCTTATGACAGCTTCCTAGATAGTCATTCAGTGATATTAAATCCTCATATCTTTACATTTTATAGGTATTGCTATTTAACTTCTTGCTTTTAACTTATTCACTTTCATAGAATATAATATTTGACAGAGTTGGCTAACAAAAGAAAAGTTTGAAGCAACATCATTCAAATTTACATTGTATCACCTAACTGGCCCAGCAGGAAAATAATCATTTGGTAGATAATACAGATGTTCTGCAACATGAAAAGGAAACATCTCCATTCCAGTACAGCATTTCCTTTTATTTTTAAAAAATATTTGTCACAGCTTCCTTCCAGATTTATCACATGCTATAGTTAGGTTTCCTTCCATTTTCCAGGAAGGGGGAGTGAACCTTTTAACAACCATTATTGAACTGACTATTAGACATCAGTATTTACATCAGGGCTTGAGGTTATACCTCCTATTTAGTGTCTCAAAGTATAATATGATTCCATCCCACTCGAGTCCTGAAAAATGGTTAATGCAAAAAGTGACCTTGCCCTTTTCTTTTTTTATTGCTTCTTGTGACTTAGCTTTAAGACTAAGGTAGAGGAGTGTTACAAAAATAAACATATTAATGTTTTTTTCAGGAATTTGGGCACGGTGGGATGGAGTCACACTCAAATATTTGAATATCACTTACATGGATGCCCAAAAGGCAGAATAAGATCTTTTCCTAGCTCTGGAATTGCCTGTATCATACATTTTTACATGTTCACTTGCTCTGTCTCTTGGCTTTGATTTGTCCTAAACTGCAGAGACTTAAAAATGGAGAACACAGCAGAAGCTTCCTGAAATTCTTTGGCTACAAAGTAATAACAAAGGGCATCTAAACAGCAATTAATGTTTGCTACACATGCAGCCACACGAATAAAAGTTCTAATCTTTAGTCGTGTGTTGCATACAACTCCAACTACATCCACTGCAAAGCTAAGAAGCAGACCAATATTAAAAGGCAAAAAACATATAATAAATACACTCAGGTTCACAGAGACAATGTAGAGGGCTTTCTGGGTCAACTTTTCTTCATGAGGGGTTGCATTTATCTTCTTCTTGAGACACCTGATGATTTGTATAGAACAAAAGCTCAAGATTCCTAGGGGAATAAAGTAACCCACAATACTTGAGAATAGTGCTATGTAGAGGGGTTCAGAAGATCTTTTCTGAAAGCAAAATTTTTCCTTTCCTTTTTGAAATCGAGGGTTGAAGTAAGCATATATTGCCATGATTATCCAAAGTACTGCACAGAGAGCAGCTGACCTCAATGGGGACCGTAAAGTAGTTGCTTTTAGGGGGTACTTTATTGCAATGTATCGATCCACTGCTATGATAGTGATAATACTGATGCTCATGGGTGTGTTTGTGAAAAATATTGTCTGTATTGCTAAGCAGAGGTTATCTGTGGGATAGTCATTCCATTGAAAATACATCACAAAAGGCAAAGTAAAAAGCAGAGAGCAGTCTGCAATGACTAAGTTGATCATGTACACTCTGGTTTCTGTCCATTTTTCCAATTTGAAGCAGAACACCCAGAAAGCAAAGACATTAAAAATGACTCCAAAACAGAAAACAGGGATGTTAACAATCTGTTCAAAGAGCTTGACATTCTCCTGCACTGTGCTGTTAGGGTTGTAGGTACAGGTGTTCATGACAAGCAGTTGCTGCAAAAGAAGAATGAAGAGATATAAGAAGGAACATGTTGCTGATTAATCTATGACTTAATCATTTTTCTAATATTTATTCCTAGTGGATTGTATGGTTTTTCTGATGTCCTCATCCAAGGTAGTATTGTCTTCACAGAGAGCAGATTTCAAGGGATTTTTCCTTTCTGAAGCAGAAGAAGTTTATCCGAAAGTCCTTGGACATTCAGGTGCAGACAGAAGTGCAGCTCCCTGCTGATTTTTACCAAGCGTTCTGAGTTACAGCGTTACCCCAGACTAAACAGAAGTCCATGGTTGGTTTCAGGGGAGAGTGGAATATAGTTTTGGCTGGGAGCCTGCAGCTAGGTTCCCATAGCAATGGCCAGGGCTCTGCCAGTGCTGCCTGTTTTCAGGATGAGAGTGGAGAAAGGCAGAGGAGGGAGCTCATTTTTGGGGCTCCCCAGCTGCTGCTGAAGGGTGGGGCAAGTGAATTGGAGTCCCCCCACCTAGGCGGGTTATAATACACCTGCCCCACTTTCCAGGGGGAACCAAAAAACTCTTGGACTAAACGCCCTCTGCTCCCTTCCCCCCTCCCATTCTGAAAACAGTGACAGGCTGTTTGCTCTGCAAACACAAGTTACAGATGACCTACATTTTGTAACATCTTTATCTAATACCTCATGCAATGAGGGGTCAGATTTTCACTTACTTGGCCATTTATAAGCAGCTTGCAGCTGTGCACTTGTGTTTGGCCGCAGCTATAAATTGCTTTCTGTGGCCAGATCAGGCAAAAATTGTCACTTCTGTTTGCACCCTCACAAAAGCTACTGGATAATCAGTGGTAGCGACACAGATGTTCTCTGGTAGATAATTACATAGTGAAATTGTCTCCCTTTCTCAGACCATATCACACTCCTTCTCTCCTTTGCATTCCTGGCACTTTCAGTATATTTATGTGTTGCAATATTCCCCCATTTTCCTGTTTGCTCTGATGCACCTTACTAGTTCTCATACTCTTGTGGTATCTAGTCACATATTTGCAATACTGAACCCCGCTTTTCTCCTCTTTGGCAGGATACCTTTTCCATTTCCCCAGTTTTAATACCTTCTTCTCTTTCATAGCCAAGCAACTGATGAAGACATCCGCTTCCAATACACGAAAGCTCCTTCATCTTACACTGCAACTGTCTCACCACCCGTTGGCTACTTCTCCCTCCCCTGTTTGCACTTCTCCTCTGTCTTAAACAATGGTACAAAGGAACCTTTGGGTCACTATTTTATCCGCTGGCTATGCCTGGCACTTACGCTGATGTTCTGTGCATAGGCAGAGGGAGAAAAAAATATTTGTGGGGGCTGAGCACATGCGTACATGCACATGCACTCAGCCCCTCCAAATGGGGTGCGTGATGGAGCCACAAGTGGCTCATCCAGGGGGTGCCCAGTGGAGGTGGATTTTGGGGTGGCTGCAGCCCCCTCATAGCCAGTGGCTGGAGCCCCCTCCCAGTGCTGCCACTACCTGCCCTGAGTACAGCCTGGCCCAGCCCTCCCCCGCTGGGAAGAAGGTGGGTTGTGGCAGCCCCAGCTGCAACCCACTTCCCCCCGCGCAGATCTGGGGGCACACATCCCTTGTGCCCTCCCAGGGTGTGTGTAGCAGCAGGAGCTGTGCCCGTCCATCCCGTGTCCCCCAGATGAGCTGTTCACAGCTCTGTCCCGTGCCCTGTCCCACTCCACCCCGGCTGTGCAACTACACAGATAAGTGAGAGCTCCCCAATGCGATTGTACAGGGGTCTGTACAATCTGGACTACAGTGCCTTGTTAATGACAAAGAAATGACCCCTGGGGGTCTTCAAGAGGAGGTTAGATAGGCATCTGGCTGGGGTCATCTGAACCCAGTACTCTTTCCTGCCTATGCAGGGGGTTGGACTCGATGATCTATTGAGGTCCCTTCCGACCCTAGCATCTATGAATCTATGATTCGGAAAACATGAATCCTTAAGGATCTGTATTTTTTCTGTTAGTATTTTTACTGAATGCTAACAGGAAAAAATAAAACCAGCTTCCCATGCTTTGTCCTTTCCATAAATCAGGAGAGGAGAGTGGCAAGAAGAAATTCCAGTCAGGGAATTTAAAATATTGGCTTAAAACCTATGATTTCTTAGACTATGAATCAGACTCAATATGTTGTCTGCTAGAAAGTGTTTTCGGTTATTTGGAGCAAGAAATATATTTGCAGCTGGTGTATATACATTAATCGATATAAAGAAATAATAATTACACTTCCCTGGAAACTGGAAACAGTGACAGCATAATTTAGAAATAACTCCTCTTTAGGCACCGAGAGATGAGGCCAGATCCAACAGAAAATGAAATTATCAGTAATCCAAGAACAACTACTAAAATTAGAACATGAGCTTGATCAGATATTAGATTAGGTTCAGGGAACATAGGTCTGTTGTCAGTACTTATAATCCCCAAACTTAATTTTTCACAATGTTTTTTAAATAAGCACTGCTTAGTACTTCAGGGTTAGGTTTTCAAGATGAGTAAAGGAAATTAGGCAACAACTTCCATTGACAGGGCATGGGATCTGGGTGCTTGTCTCTTATTCCAAACCTGTGATACTATTGGTCATTATATCTATTTTGGTGGATCCGTAGGTGATGTAACGGACAGGCCAGCTGGGCTGGGCCCAGGGGCCACTACCAGTTTGGAGCACCTGGGATCTTCATTAGCAGGGAAGTGAAAGCTATGGTTTTAAATTTGGTTCAAAAGTGGCACCAAGTTTAAAACCATGGCTTTCGTATTTGCTTCCCTGGGAACTGGAAGTAGGGCCCCTCCACCAATGGGGTGGGGGATGCGCCAGGAGCACCATGCCATGCCTCTGCGGGCAGGCGGGCAATGGCACTGAGGGGGAGGCCTTGGCAGACTATAGCCCCTTTAAATTCATCTTAGCCCCCCTGTACCCACCCCTCCCAGCGCTGCCGGCACGGTGCGGCACTCCTGGTGCGACACTCTTGGCCTGACCTGGTCTGGCCCTGTGCATCTGTGCAGTGGCAGGGGACACAGCTGGGCAGCAGCTACCTGCAGGTAAATCTAATAGGGGCAGGTGGGGAACTAGATGGAGACATGGGCAGCTCATAGTGGGTGGTGTGGGGCTGGCTCAGAGTGATCGAGAGATGGGGAGGGGGGAGGTCCTGCGAGGGGAAAGTGTGTGTGCGCGCATGTATTTGTTGTGTCTCTGTCTGTCTCTGTCTGTGTGTATGCATCTGTGTGTGCGTGTGTGTGCGTGTGCATGTGGGCATGTGTATGTGTGCATCTGTGCGTGTGCATGTGTGTGCATCTGTTTGCACATGCATGCATGTGTGCATATGGCTGTGTGTATGATCTGTGTGTGTGTGTGCATGGTTCTGTGTGTGTGTGTGTGTGTGTGTGCATCTGTGTGTGTGTGCGCGCACCTGTGTGTGTGCCTGTATTCATGGCAGGGAGAGGGTACTTTTGTCTGTGTCCATGTGCAGAGAGTGAGTGAAAGTAGAGTGCACGCCTGTGTCTGTGTCCATGCCTGTGTGTGTTTGCATGCCTGTGTGAGTGTGTGTGCGCGCATGTGTACATTCAGCCATGGTGGGAGAAGGGAGGCAGGGAGCAGAGAGAAGAGGCAGGCATGTGCTTCCCCCACAAGCCCAGCAGGGTCCACCCAGCCTCCCTGCCAGCACCAGGAAGGGAAGGGGCCCCTCTCCTCCGCTGCAGCCCAGCTCCCGTAGGGGCAGGGGGCCTCCAATTTTGTGTTTCCCCAGGGTCCCAATACACCTTAATCCTCCTCTGCATCTAACAGCTCTATGGGGTCAGTTCCCAGGCAGACATGTAATGAAAGCATCATCTTGATCCAAATGCACAACCAATCTTTAATTCAGTTATTCCATCTATCACATGGGGCTAACAGCACTTGCCCACCTCTTGGTGCTGAAAGACCAAGCTTAGTTATCAATGTATAATGCTTTAAAATCCTTCTTCGCAAAATGCTACAGACATGCAAATACATTGCTCCTACTATGTTTTCAAAATTCTGTATGTCTTATTTGTTTCCTACTTAGCATAGAAGTACAACATTTCCCTAGAGAAGAGTGATTCAATCTTAGCAGAAGATTCATGAGAGGACAAGTGCACAGAACCTGACAAAAGTTGTGGCAAGAATTCAAGATCTATGAAGGCAGTTCTAAGGCTAAAGAATTATTCTAACATTAAATGTAAGTAGTGAACAGCCTTGAATATCCTTCTGGCTAATGACATAGAAAACATGGTGCAAATTGGATGAGAACAAAGATGAAGGAATGAAATTACCTGCCTTCCTTTGTTTCTCTGAACAAGGGCTTTAGTCCACAAGAAAAGCTTCAATGCAGACTTGATTATCTGAACACCAAGGAGAACGGTTAGTAGACACAGATGCTGTTCTGCTTGAACTTGCTTTCCTTGAAGAGCAAAAGTCCAAAGATTCTTTTCCCCACACCGGAGATGCATCTAAAGCTAAACTAAACAATGCAGAAATGCTCTCCTGAGCCTTAAATTGTCTGGACTGTCTAATTTGAAACTTCCTCTAAATGACAGATTCTTATCTAGTGCCCTCTACTGATTCCATTATACCAGTTTTGTTTGTGGCAATAGGTTTTTTTACCTAAATGATTTTTTTTCCTGAAAAGAATCAACATTTAATATTCATAATCTTCAGATTAAAGGGGTGGGGTGGGGGGGGGTAGTTGGTCAGGAGTGACAGGCACCTGAAGGGGCAGGAGGGAAGTGGGTCAGGATTGAGGGGCACCAGCAGGACTGGGGGCAGTGGGTGGAGAGTAAGGGGCAATGGTATGGCTAGGGCAGTGGGGAGCGGGGAGAGAGGCAGCTGCAACTGGATTCATGTCCTGGTGAGAGAAGGGGGCCGGGAGAGCTCTGATTTTCCATGATAAAAAACCCAACATCAAATGCCAAAATGTACAGGTATTAGAATTAATGTTATTATAGTGATTGAGGCACTGGTAGCCTTCCAAATTGCTTGAAATTTATAACTATATTAACTATATTAATAAAACATTGTTTTCAATTGATGCCTATGTATATAGCGGCGTTTCATTTTAATCACAGAAAAACATGGATTTGGGGAGGTTTTAATCAGAGAATTTACAATTTCTTAAACAGAGAAAACCAAGATCCCCACCGATGATAGCTAGCTAGACTAAGATACTCCTCTTTCTTTTTTGAACTCCTGACACTTTCAGTATGTTCACATATTGCAATATTCTCTCCTTCCTGTTTTCTCATCAGATCTCATCCTCCTGTGGCCTCCAGTCAGCAAGTTTGCAAACGACCAACCCCATTTTCTCTCTTTTGTGGCAGGAGACTGCTCCCATATCCACACATTTAATGCCTGCTTCTCTCTCAGTACTAAATGAGCAACAAAGCAGTCTGTGACCAGTGCATCACACTCTTTTCAAGAAGTTCTTGATCGTATACCACAAATGTTTAACCACCACTTGGCTTCTGTCCCTGCCCTGTTTATCCAATGCATGAGCACCCTTAGTATCATAAATAATTTTAGTATCATTAATAATTATGAATTCACTATTCTGTCTGTTGGGCATAGCAACATAACTGCAATGGTCTGTATCCTGGGCAGATGCTGGTGGCCTGGCAGCACCAGCGGCTGCTGTTCTTGAGCCCCCTCCTTATGCTACTAGGCAGTCCCTGTCTGATATGGATAGGCAGTGTTTTGCTTGGTCTGGGGCCCTCCCCACAGCGGTCAGAAGCCTGTCTAAAGCAGAGGATCACACGTTTCTTCTATCTATCAACAATTAGCCATGCCTTCAAAACATCTAGCAGCATTTTATTACTCAATCTGCTGCACAGGCTAACCAATTCCTAGGTATGATCCATAAAATGTGTCAGATTTTCTTGTCCTCACCCCTGGCAATAGTGGGGGTGCAGAATGTGGAATAGCCCCATCTTTAGCATGATATACTGGCCTTATGATTAGGAAACAGGCTTGGAAAGAACATCACCAGTGCTGCCCACTGGAGGCTTACTTAGGCAGATGCTGAGGAGGAACATCAAAATGTGGCCTTAAATGTTCAAGAGCCAGATTCTGTCTCCTTTATTCACATTGAGGAGGACTTTAGTATAAGACTCCTTTTGATTTCTCAGTTTGAAGTTTCTGTTATGGGATGCCATTTCAGGGTGGTGAGCCAGGGCTTAGGGATAGATCCATTACTATCTATTAAACAGAATAGTCAGGGATGTTTCTCTGGCATCTCTAAACCAAGGACACGGATGCCAGGGAGAAAATGACAAGAGATAGACCACTCTAGATATACCCTGTCCATCTGCTGTCCCTCTAAATCATCCACTACCTTTATCAAAGACAGGATACTGGGCAAAATGGACCATTGGTCTGACCCAGTACCACACTTCTTATGTTCTTTTGGTGAAGGTTTGCAAAATCCTGCACTGCATGAGTTAATATGCAAAAAGATGTACTAGGCAACCTTTGTCACTTTGGTGAACATTTAAATGACCTCACATGGGATTACACAGAGAAGTGAGTGCTCCCCACTGCAAATCAGGCCTATGTAGTCTGGATATCAATGATGTGTTGACAAAAAGAAAAATATTTTCAAAACATGGACACTGGGGGGCACGAGATTTTGGCAGAAGAGAAAGTCACAGGAAAAGAACCTGAATGATAACAGTACAAAATTAAATCACCCTCATTCTTTATAACAGGGATGGCCAACCTACAGCACAAGTGCCATAAGTAGTGTGGGCATCCTGTGTGTGTAATACATGGCCGACTGGGGAGGGAGCTGGGAGCACATTGACAAACAGGGCTGGGAGCAGAAAGCAAAGTAGCAGATCAGGCAGGGAGTGCAGGGAAGTAAGCAGGAAGCAGAGCAGCAGACTGGGCAAGGGAAGGGGATTGGAGTGGCACTCAGGGAAGGTGTGGGGCTAATTTGTAGTACACCTGCTAAAAAGGTTGGCTTCCCTCTGCTGTATACTATCCCCAAAATGAGGAAAGAGTACAGGAGAAATCCTAATCTCAGAATTAAAATATTGCCTTAATAGCTATGATAGCTTAGTGCATGAATCAGACTTAATTTGTGGTCCATTAGACAATGTTTGTGGTAATTTAGAGCAAATATATACACATTTATATTTAATACAGTGTTGTATAAAATTGCTATTAAGAATTAATAATTAAACTTTCTTGAAGATAGCATGGCTGCATAATGCTGTTTAGTAGCCAAGAAAGGGGCCAGACCAACACACAAGAAAATTAATCCAAAGATTTGCACTGGAATCAGAACATGGGCTGGATCAGGTATTAGATTAGGTTCAGAGGCTGTAGTTTTGTCGTTGGTATTTATAGTACCCTAATTTAATTGTTCACAATGTTTCTAAAATTAGCACTGCTTAGTATTTTAGGATTCGATTTTCAAGCGAACCTAAGAAAATTAGGTACCAAACTTCTATTGACAGGGAAAAGGATCTGGGTGCCTCACTCTCTGGTTCCAAATATTGTGTTACTGTTTTTATTTGTACTGTGATGGAACCTACATCTAACAGCCCCATTCTCGTCGTTCCTCTTTGCGCACATGTAATGAAAAGATGGCCACAACCCCGGTGAGCTACCAACCTCTGATTCAGTTATTTCATCTGTAAAATGAGGACAGCAGCACTTTCCCTCCTCCCTCAGAGTGTTGTAAGACTAAACTTACTAAGGGATGTAAGTTTACACTTCAAATCCTTATGTGGAAAATGTGACAGACATGCAAATATATTGTTCCTATAGCATGGCAAAATGATATTTGTATAAATTGTTTGTTACTGCATATGTCTACACATGCATTTGATCCAGGAGCCGTTTACTTGCTCCCAGTCCCAGTTCCCTGATCAAGGCAGGGGTCTTGGAAAGAGCTGCAGGGGAGGGCAAGTCCCAGCCCCCTGCTTGAATCAGCCAGTAAGGCAGCTCCCACCCCACCAGGGGCTCACTCCTAGCCCCACCAGTGGATCGGGGAAGGGTGCTGGGACCTTCCCCACACCTGCAGCTCTTTCCAAGCCCTGTGCCTCAATTGCCCAACTGGGGCATGGGGCTGGGACCTGCCCCTGACTGGGACAGTTTCCAACCCCCACTCTGTAATCTCAGGGAAGGGGCTGGAGTGTCTGTTCCCTGATTAGCTCTGTAATCACAGAGCTGGGTGGGGAACAGGCTGGAGACGCTCAGCTCCACAATTGCAGAGCTGGGTGGGGAATAGGCTCCCCACCCCCCTCCAGCAGGGAGCTCAGCGCCAGTTCCAGGGTCATGGGGCCAGACTTGGGAGATCCTTATCGCCCAGCACCAGCCCTGCGGTCATAACCTGGCACGGGGAGATAAGGATCTGTCTGCACTGGCTTCTGACCAGGAAACAGGCACCGGGAGATAAGGATCTAACCTGCCACTCCCCAACTGCAATGGTGAAGTGGGGGGGCTGGGAGATAAGGATCTCTCAATCCCCACTCCCTGATCATGATCTAGAAACAAGGGGCTTTGACTTCCCTGCTGCTGGGTCAGGGGGACATAGTCCCTGCTTAGGCTCTGGTGGCAGAGCCCACCCCAGTAATAGGCAGCTCCCCAGGCAGGGAGCAATATCCTGCCCTCTGGTGCCCAGCTGACTGGGACCAGATTTGCTCCTGGTCAGGCATCTACGCAAGCACTACTGCATAGTAACTAATCGCAAGTAAATTTGCTACTTGCATTTGCAAGTAGCAAATTTGCTTGCAATTTGCAAGGTTAACTGTGCAGTAAGCATGTGCACGTGTAGACGCACATGATTCCTGTGCAGTAAGCTATGCTACTTCGCAGTAAAGCATCTTGTGTAGACGTACCCACTTAGAATAAAAGCCCAATAAATACCTTAAACAAATTAAATATAATGAAAGGTGCATGAAAGAACAAGCACAGGGAACATGGCACAAGTTAGGGTAAAACTCCAAGATATATTGGAATTGAATTATTTCTCTACCAGTTTTAAGATTAAAGCATTATTTCAATTTTAAGATTAACAGGTGAACAACTGTAAATATACTGTGTAAATAGTAGGAAAACTGCAAATTAGATAAGAATAAAAATGAAAGCATGAACTTACTTGATTCTCTCTCTTTCTCTGAACAACAGCTTTAATCCACAAGAAAAGCTTCAGTGCAGACTTGTTTATCTAATGTTAAGGAGAATGGTTAGTAGCCACACATGCTGTTCTGCTTGAACTTGGTTTCTCTGGAGAGCAAAAGTCCAAAGAGTCTTTTCTTCAGTGCTCAGACATATCTGTAGCCACACTGCAACAGTGCAGAATTACCCTTTTAAGCCATAAACTGTCCAGTTTGTCTACTTGAAACTTGCTCTTGGTGAGAGATGTTTATCTAGTGCCCTCTACTGATTCCATTATTTCTAGTTCATCTGCCTCAATACAGTTTTCACATAAATTATGTTTTCCCAGCAA